CAACCCCTTTTGGTAAGCGGGATTCGGAGGTCGATCGGAACGCAAATAAAATCGTATTTGGTACGCAGATCCAACATTATAAAACATGTATATCAAAATAAAGTTATCGCCATTTCTGTCATGTTATTTCTGACATATTCCGAGCACAAAGTTGACTGTAACAACAACTTGTGAAACTATGAGGAGCAAATGCGCTTATTTCTGTCCGTGGAATAAGATTCAGTTGATTTCTGTTATAACGCTACGGTTGGGAATCAAAACAGTGGAAATAGAACTTTCCCGTCGATTAACTGAACCAGTTATCGCCATCGTCTTAACAGCACGTGCCACGTGACCACGCGCACCGCTTCAGTTATACAAATTACATTTCTTAGTATCTCGGGTATCGCACTCAGTTTTTTTATTCATCAAAATGAATAAGAAATGCTATTATCAATTTGTCGTCTGCAAACTGACAAAAAAACATTATTCCCAAAATTAGATCTACTCATGCTTATCCTTAACACTACCACTTAGCACTTAGCACTAGGTATGTACTATGGATTTCTCGATATATATACGCCTGATGAAATCTCTTCTGATGAGCATCGATCCACGCAATTGTATATATATACAGTTTATGCATTTTTAGAAATATAGCTCAAATAGGTTTTTAGAACTGTATTTTGGGGAAGAAATGACAGACACATCGAAAGAAATGACAGAACTGAAAGTGCATCATCGGGTTGTTTGATTATTTTTTTGCGTGAATTAGTCACTTTCTTTCACGCGTGTCTTTTCTAAAGTTGTATTTGAGCAAGGTGATTAAGGTGGGTTTTTAAAAAAAAAATAAAAAATGAGCAAAAGTAAAATGAGATGCGATCACGTGCGAGGTATAACGGGGAGTTGGCGATAATTGGTCTTCGGCGATAACTGGTTGCTGTACTGTACGTAAATATTTTCTATATATATTATACTTTTTTATATTTAAAAGAAATTTAACTTAAAATCGTTCCCTTTTGTCCATGCTTTTGAGATTTGTGTTAAGTAGTATTAGAGTGAGTGAGTGAGTTTGGTTTTACGCCGCTTTTAGCAATATTCCAGCAATATCACGGCGGGGGACACCAGAATTGGGCAAGTAGTATTAGATGGTATTCGGGACGTGTGTGTGTGTGTGTTCGGGATTCAGGGGAGTGTGTGTGTGCGTGCGTGCGTGTGTTCGGGATTCAGGGTGTGTGCGTGAATACACTGTCAGTTTCTTATCTTTAGTGCAGCAGCAGCAGCAGCCTTCTCTAGGAGTAGTGCTTCATTTTTTTACGTCTGATTTCACTGCCAGTTTCTAACCTTTATGATATGTCATTTGGTAAAATTGATAATGTCTTTGTTGGAATTATCAAAACGCAACAACGTCCAAATGTTTCACAACTGTTCAACTGCGAAGTCATGACACAATTGGGTCACGTTGCTTTGGTCCAGTGCTAACCAGCCTTGTCAATTGCTGCGCTATACAAGACTGTTGTGGCACAGCATTGACAATCGCTTCTTTATACAACACCTGCTGTGGCACAACAGTGACCATCGCTGCCCTATACAACACCCTGCTGTCATATGAGTGAGTGAGTGAGTGAGTTGGGTTTAACGCCACTTTTAACATTCCAGTTATATCACGGCGTGTCAGCTTAATGTGGGAGGAAAGCCCGAAGTGATGCAGGTCTCAGACGTTTACAACTTCGGTGAAACACACGAGCACGGGTATGGTGCTGACAAACCTAGAAACAGGGAGCGCCGCCTGGTGGCAAGGTTATAGAACACACAGACAAACAGCTCCGACTTGTTTGAATAAAAACAAAGTAAATATCTACCTGCCAGGGCCATACCTTGGACAAGGACAAGAGTAAGCATCAAGGGGTGTGACCTAACAACATATAGAAGCAACATCGGATGCTTTACAGGTACTTTTGTCGCATTAATGTATGGTAGAGTGAAGCGGGTGACATCCATGCGTGTCGCCATGCTGCACGTGCCGAACGGGGCAGGTGGGCTCATGAGAGCGACCGTACTTGTCAGTGTATAAAGAAATTTGTGTAACAAAATCACAGTATTACAGATCAGTTTTGGTGGAAAAACTGTTGTCTTCTTTAGAAATAAGTAATAATAAGATAGTTTGGTCTTTAGTCTCAAAAAGGACTTGTGCCCCCTTTAAGAATATATCTGTTAATCACTGGATTAAACATTTCGAGTCAGTGTTTCTAGGTAGCCGAGAAAGTGCAGATTTTGTTGAGTTTTATAAATTTGTAGATGACTTTGTCAACTCCATTGGTGATGAGTTGATAGAAGATACCGACAATATCTTTATTGTAAATACTTTATTAGATAAATATATCTGTCTCTAAAAAGCGGCAGGATGGATGGTGCCTTTATAGATTTGAAAGGAGCGTTCGACTCTGTGTAGGAATGGCTTACTCTTCAAATTGTGGAAAGGAGGTATTAATGGTCGAATGTTTAGATTAATTTGTAATATATATAGATCTGTAAAGTCCTGCATTTCTCTAGAAGGTGGCTATACACAGTTCTTCGAGTGCTACTCTGGTGTTAGACAGGGATGCCAACTGTCGCCTTTTTTGTTTTCATGCTTCATCAATGATATTGTGAAATGTTTGAATTGTGAGGGAGCTCATGGTGTAACTTTAAGTCCTTTGGAATTATTTATTCTATTGTTTGCAGATGACATAATCTTGTTAGATGTAACAGCTAATGGCCTACAGAAACGTCTTGACCAACTTTCTTTATATTGTAATAAATGGAAATTGACTATTAATACTAAAAAAAGCAAAGTGATTGTGTTCAGGAATGGCGGCAAACTTAGATCTTATGAAAAGTTTAGGATTGGAGATTCCGTCATTGACATAGTCCCTAGTTATAAATGTCTAGGTGTGCAGTTATCGTCCTCTGGTTCTTGGTATCTTACTCAAAAGACTTTGGCACAACAGGCATGGAAAGTAGTTCGAATACTACAATCAACACTGGGAAAATTCTCGACAATCCCAGCTCGTGTCTGTTTTCATATTTTTGATATAAAAGTATTGCCAATTTTAAATTATGGAGCAGAGATTTGGGGATTTCATCCTTCACCCGATATTGAAAATGTACACGATCGTTTCTGTAAACTTGTTCTGAGCTTGAATAGAAACACCCCTAACATAACTGCGAGAGGTATTGTGAATAGAACATCAAACAAGGTTTTGCATTACATAAAAATTATAAAATTCTGGTTAAGGTCATTGTCACAACAGGTTAATGTTATCATGAAAGGTTCTTATGATTTTCAGTATGGAAGGGCAGAAAGTGGTAAAGCTTGTTGGGCTACTAATGTTAAATACTAATGTTATATACATATAGTTTTGGGGAAGTCTGGTTACAGCAAGGTGTTGGAAATAAAAATGCATTTCTATTGTGTTTTAAGCAAAGATGTAAAGATATCTGCCAACAAACATGGAATAATAATTTAGAATGTTATTCTAAGCTGGAATATTTTTGCTCTGTCAAGGAACATTTTAATTATGAACATCTGACTAATTGTATTGATATAGCCATCTATCAAACAACACTTGTTATGTTTAGCTGTTCTAGTCATAATCTATTGGTAGAGGCAGGTATGCATTATAAAATACCAAGGCCAGAACGTCTTTGTCCGTTTTGTATTGTGCCATATATAGAAACTGAATTCCACTTTTGTCTCGAGTGTCTACTTCCTAAATATTATTGCATAAGTCCAACTCTGGATAAACTAAAACAATTATATAGCTTCAACCTCTATGTTATAAGAAGATTTGCAAAGTATGTATTTCTCGCTCTCAAGAAAAGGAACACTCTTCTTAAAGATGTGCCTGTTATGTAGCACTATGCCATTGTAACAATGTGAGACTGGTTGTTGCCAGTGTGTGTAACATGTGTTGGGACCCGATCCACGGGGTGTTCGTGTGTTATGACCGGCCTCAGTAACCTTATGTGCATCCTTCTCAGCACTCCGATGAGTGTTGACCGCTTGCTCGTGGCTCGCGGGCGCTTTTGTGAATCGGTTCCCTGATGTAATAATCAGCGCTCCCTGTACATGTGAACTGACTTATCCAATGTACCTTGTAAAATGGGCCGGTGGCCCCTTTACGGAATAAACTCATTCATTCATTCAACCTAGAAACATAATCGGGGCAAACCGGGATTCGAACCCACAATCATAGGTTTCTGGCGAGGGACGCAACTCTGCACAGCGAATCGCGGCGCCTTAGACGACTGGGCCACCCGTGCCCACCACAATCATATGAAGGATGCTTAGTTTTCTTGAGTGAATCAGGTGTCAGTTTTCTGAAACATCTCGGCGTTATTTCTTAAATACTACCTCCAAACGGAAAGTTCGAACAAAAGAAAAAAACCTGCACAGAACACAAACATACCCTCGATGGCAAATATCCACAATATAATATATAATAATAAGGCTTTTTATAAAGCGCAAAATCCACATAACTGTGGGACATGCTCAATGCGAAAAATATAATACATATTTTTACTATTTTGCATTCGGAACTGCCCATGTATGTTCGATTTCGAGAAACGGAGATCAGATATGTTGCTCTGAATGCTTCGCTAATTCGTACAGAGGATCCGGAAATTCATCTGACGCACCCATCCACGGATCTGACCTCTTCAGACTTAGATTGTATATCTTCTGCAAACCTGTGCCCTAAGAAAAAGTATCATGTCTGATATAATATACAGTCTCATCAAAAGTCTCATCGTTTTTAGCTCTCGCTATTTTATCGAGATAGCTGCTCGATAATCTTTTTAATAGCCCTTTTATAGAAAATTGGTTTGAAAGATTTGGTTATATAGAGAGTTACAGCTTCAAATTTAAAGACGTGAATCTGTTGTGTTTTCCCTCGTATTTTGTGCTGATCCGTTTTCGACACAAGTCTATTTTCCGTTTCAGTGAATCACATTTCGAATTATTGTAAAACCTGCCTAAGGTCAAGGTCGCAATTATGGCTTCCTGAATGTCGAGAAAATGTTAATCACATTTATAATTTGTTGCATTTCTGAGTGATTGTTCAAGAATATAATTTGAATCAGTACACCAAAACGACAGACTGGTGTAACACATGTGTTTTTGAAATATTTCACATGTAATTTAAGGCATCGGACCATTTTGGATCGTTGTATTTTCTGATGGTTTGGGACGAATCTTTCTGTCTAGATTTGGCAGATCGCCTTGGGTCAAATATTGTTTGAGTGATCAAGATACAGTGTAAATACATTCGCAATGATGTTCTGTTGGAACTGTAGATGTGGCGCGAATATTCTTGTGAGGACCATCCACACGGCACTCTGCGTTGGAGTGCCAGTCACTCTCCTTGTCAAAGATACAAGTTAGTATGTTAAATGACGTTTGATCACCGTAGTAAATACTATGTCATATCGAGCAAGGGTTAGTTTGTATCCAGGTGTCCTGTAGATTCTAAATAAAATATAAAACAATTTTGGCATTTAACCAAGTGAATCAAGGTAGCCCTTGTTCGAGTTATCCATCATACCATGCTTGTGATTGTTTAATCCACTTACTTGTGATTCCTCCCCCAGACCATGCAGACATTCAGTTACTGCCGCACCATAGTCATGAAGTATCCTCGTGTTTTCGGACAATGAAGAAACATTCATAGTTTTCTCGCTGATCACATGTAAAACTGTAAAACTGTAAAACATCTCATTGAGACAACCTAATTTTAAAAACAAGCCATCATCTGAGTATTTAATTACACTGTCTGTGTGACTCCACCCTACTCGTTACAGCAAAGAGTAATAGGGATTAATTTGTCTGTCCAAATTCTATGATCCAATGATAGTATTTGTGCATGGCTGATAAAAACAACAGTGATACTAATAGCATTTAAAAGTAATGCATCTGAATGAGAATGACCAAATGACACCTTTACTTATATGAAAGTAATTTCAATCTGATATGTTTATCAAGTTTATTGTATATTTATAAATCTCAGTCTCAAGCTACCCATCCTTGACCTGTATGGTGGCATTTCAAGGGACAGTATGTCAAAGGTTCTGTGTTTTTAAATCATGCATGAAATTTCTGAGTGTGATGTCACATGCCTGATTCATCTCTCAAACCAAAACAATAGAGCTCTGCAAAGTGAGGCTGACAACGCCAGCTCTGCACAGAATAAACTGGCTTCAGTCTTGTTTTTGTAATAGAGGTAAATTGGAGCAAAAGCTTGTGGGTTTTTCTTACAGCTGAGTTACAAAAATACTAATTACCAGCTTGATTAGATAAGAACCCAGTGTTTATCAGTTCCTAGTAAGTATACAATATAAATATGCCTTGGTCGTATGAAGTCAATCACTCTTCTACCAAGGGTCCTTGCGGCCAGCCGAGTACCTCTGTCACATGGTCACATATATTCTTACACAGTCCATTCTTGTGTTCTACATCTGTTTCATTTTGGATGAGTCTACACATTTAGATAAACATGGTAAACATAAGTCATGAAATGTTTAACCTTCATTGAGATCATATTCCTAAAACGTGAAAAACTATTTCCATTTGCAAACTTATCCTACATGTCCTGTCATCAAAGCCTTCAGAGAGCTGACATACAGGTTCCTCCTTAGGAACACATCTTATCTTGTTAAAACCAATGTGCTGTTGTAAGGTATTTATTACAAAAATTCAAATTTGAAGTCTTGCTCTGAAGAACGTCTTGGTAAAGGGCTTTTACTTTGTGTGAATGTAAAGACCATATGATCAAAGTTTGTTCAACATGTTCAAGGCTTCACTATTTGTACTGAACATTGTCCTCCAAAACGACATTTTTGCAAGAATACTTTTCCTTTTCCCCAGATTCTTTTTGCACCAATTTTTCTTTAATGCACAATATAGATATTTGTATGAGAATCGAGTTGAAGTGTAACAAACTCACCACCAAAAGAAATGCGAACCATGAAAACATATAGAGAAGTATGTACATTAGAAGAGATGTTTCCAATGTGTACCAGTACCCATTAATGACAAAACTAACAATCAGTCAAGTGTTACCATGGTTACCACAGTGTCTTTATTCCTGTCAGGATATGCTGCATGTGATTTCCAAATCTTACACGCTAATCCTGCATGAGACAAATGGTGCATCTCGAGCCATGGATCTATGATGTCACATGTGATGCGTTCATGAGCGTTGGTTTACACAACGTACCTGTATGTTCATTTGTGCATCAAACCAATCTAAAATCTCCGGAATATGAGGTATTCTTCATATATTAACCACCCGCTTCTGTGGTCTAGTGGTAGAGCGTCGGCCCAGAGAGCAGAAGGTCCAGCGTATGATACCCGGCTGCATCATACCAAAAGACGTTAAAAGATGGTACTTGTTCAGTATACTGTGTCTGAGTGGGGTATTCATGTCAAACTGTGGCATGGTATCTTAGAGAGCTGGCGCGAGCGCACGCACGCATGCATGCAAGCACACACACACACACACACACATTTCGCTATATAAGTGCAATAATCTTGGACGCCACATTAAACCCAATTTCACCTCACCTCCCCTCACCACATATATTACCCAACATATATATCATGTGGCTACAGAGCCTTGTGGCTTTATTTTTCACATTTTGTTTCAGTTTTGAGTCGGGCTGTGGTACAGACACAGGACTTGCTCTATGGTATTTGTTATCTCCTCTTGATGTCACTCTCCATCGTCTTCTATTACCTTGCCTGCTTCATCGACCCAGGATATCTGCCTCTCAAAAAGAAGGTACCCCGTCATTATTAGTGGTGTTATGATATGATATGACCGTATTGTATCCTCAATACGAGGCCCATAATACATTGATTTACAACCCCTGTATCACGATACATACAATGCATTACATTACATATTATTTTGGCATTAAACATGTTAAACACATGAATAATAAAAGACTGTCAACAACCAGCTTATGCATATTTTCTAGTATTTCCTGGTTGGCTATGAATAGCATAACATTCACAGTGCCCTCTGGCCTATATTTTTCTGCCCTACAATATCCCATCCTCGATCTCTGAAATTAAAAGATATTAATCAGGGTTGTGATTTCCCTCCAAGAAGAAAGAATATCAACATGATCAACTTATGAAATAAAAGTAGTGTATCATGATACATATTGTACTATGACCCCACTGTATTGTTACCCCTCTAGTCATTTTCATGCATGACAGTCATGAGCCCCATGGGGATTCTTGGCTAGAATTGATCACCAGAGAGTGACTTTGAAGATCAGGTGGTCAGTCTCGGTGATTTGGGTGATTGTGTGTCATCGTAGCCAATACAAGGTGGACATGATGGATTGTTGATCATAAAATCAATCACTGGATTGTCTGGTCCAGCTGCTGTTATAAAGCTGGAACATTGTTGCAATAAAGCAACAACCAAGCAAAAGGACAGTCATGGCAGCACCAAAGAGTTTCTTGAGGAGAATAGTTGCCCCGTTCTCAGTGCTTGTTGTAAAAGAGATGACTGAAATGAAAATAGTCGTCACTATCTTGATATGTTGTTGCTTCTGTGTCATCATTGTACAAGGATGATGGGGCAGTGGGGTAGCCAAGTGGTTGAAGCGTTCACTCATCATGCCTGGGTTTGATTCCCCAAATGGGTACAATGTGTGATTCCCATTTCTGGTGTCCCCTGCCGTGATATTGCTGGAATATTGCTAAAAGTGGCATGAAACCATACTCACTCACTCACTTGTACAAGGATGACGTGGATTGTTGCTCATGCTATCAAATGTTGGTGCAAGACCAAATTACGAACCTGTTAATAATTTTGTGCAAAGGTGTAATATTCAGACACAAAACATTCAGAAGAATCACTAGAATTTGATACCATTCAGAAGAAGCTTGCAAGCTAATACTTATGTCAAAGTACACAGCAAATATGTACAGGTATAAGAATCAAGTCAAGTTTTTGTCAAATGTAAAATTGTGTAAAATGAAAAACATGAATAATGATAATAATTCTTTAAACAAATCTACATACATGTATTCTTTTTGGGAAAAAACTGTTTTTGTGGCCGAGGCTGGGTTGTTTACTTGCCACCATGATGTTGTGTCAATATTGTTCATTGTGGCATTAATGTTAGAAATTCAATCATTCTCACATTTATGAATTGTAAACAATGCAATGCAAGTGTAATCTAGGCAACATTTTCTTGTTTTCAGAAGACATCAGTTAATAACAATTCTGAAGATGAAGGTTCTGATGAAGACAGCAGCATGTTGAAGAATGGTGATAAAGATGTCAAATACCGCATGTGTGACTACTGTGAGATACAGGTGAGCTAAGTTGATCATGTGTGACTACTGTGAAATACAGGTGAGCTAAGTGGAGCATGTGTGTTTCCTGTGAAATAAAGGTGAGCTAAGTGAAGCAAGTGGGACTACTGTGAGATACAGGTGAGCTAAGTGAAGCATGTGTGACTACTGTGAAATACAGGTGAGCTAAGTGGAGCTAGTGTGACTACTGTGAAACACAGGTGAGCTAAGTGGAGCAAGTGTGACTACTGTGAAATACAGGTGAGCTAGGTGGACGGTCAAATCATACATCATTGTTTTTATGTAATTATATGGTCATTCTGTGCAGAAATGTTTCAGCCCATATGTATGAAAATGATGTAAGGGAGATAACTCTCATTACCGGAAGTAATTATTCTCTTTACATGTAATTCAGATAAATGTTATTATCCCCCGCCGCGCGAAAGAGCGAAGCGGGGGATATAGTATTCACGACTGTCCGTACGTCCGTCCGTCCGTCCGTACGTCCCACCTGTTTGTTGCCGCGATATCTCAAGAACTAAACACTGGATTGTCTTCATATTTGGAACTATGGTGTATATACAGACTCCGCAGACACCAGTCGGTTTTGGTGACCTTGATCCCATTTTCAAGGTCACAGCAGACAAATCTGCTTTTAGAGTTGGAAAACGGTGTTGCCGCGATATCTCAAGAACTAAACACTGGATTGTCTTCATATTTGGAACTATGGTGTATATACAGACTCCGCAGACACCAGTAGGTTTTGGTGACCTTGATCCCATTTTCAAGGTCACAGCAGACAAATCTGCTTTTAGAGTTGGAAAACGGTGTTGCCGCGATATCTCAAGAACTAAACACTGGATTGTCTTCATATTTGGAACTAAGGTGTATATACAGACACCGCAGACACCAGTCGGTTTTGGTGACCTTGACCCCATTTTCAAGGTCACAGCAGGCAAATCTGCTTTTGGAGTTGGAAAACGGTGTTGCCGCGATATCTCAAGAACTAAACACTGGATTGTCTTCATATTTGGAACTATAGTGTATATACAGACTCCGCAGACACCAGTCGCTTTTGGTGACCTTGATCCCATTTTCAAGGTCACAGCAGGCAAATCTGCTTTTAGAGTTGGAAAACGGTGTTGCCGCGATATCTCAAGAACTAATCGCTGGATTGTCTTCATATTTGGAACTATAGTGTATATACAGACACCGCATACACCTGTCAGATTTGGTGACCTTGACCCCATTTTCAAGGTCACAGCAGGCAAATCTGTTTTTGGAGTTGGAAAACGGTGTTGCCACAATATCTCAAGAACTAATCGCTGGATTGTCTTCATATTTGGTACTATGGTGTATATGGCGGGGGATATTTCGTCACTCTGTGACAAATACTTGTTGTCAGTTGTGTGTGTGGTATTGCTATGTGTGGTAGCTATTTGTTGCTATGGTAATGGGTGAATTGATAATATTGATGTGGGTCAGTTATAAGAATGGATGCTAACGAATAACGATGTTTACTTGAAATAGCGAATTCGGCGGCTTTAGTAGGTTATTCTATAAATTACTGATTGACAGTTTAAGAGAGAAAAAGCGTATGAAATGCCAATCAGACAGAGTCAGTTGTCAAATGATCATGAAGATATAAGATGTTCTTAAAGGCTGCACAGAAAACTAAACAAGCATTTGGAAATAGAGGTGTGCGGTATACCAGTATACCACAATTTGAAAGTACTAATGATTACGTATTACAATATGTTTGGAAAATACCAGGATATTGCATTTTTCAAACCATGCATATTTTCATCTTCTTGTCAAAATTTATGTTTGTGACAAGTCAAATTGAAATTAGGAATTCAGAAATTTGCAACTGATTCCTGTGATCGAAAAAAGCAAAACTAATTGCAACCAGCTTCCTGTATATATAGTGCCTATTATGCATGTATTGTGAATGTATTGTGACCATAGCAACATCAGGCAAAATGGCGGAAGTTGGCCTACTACCCATCACTATTAAGAAACATACCCAAAGTGTTAGTTTTTCACAGAACTATGAAGAATATGTTACACCAATATTTACTGTGGATACTTTGGAAGAAGCTAACCTTGACCTTGCATCCATGCAGCAACCAATGAGAGCCAAGCACTGTGAGGACTGCAAGCGTTGTGTGAGGAAGTATGACCACCATTGTCCGTGGCTGGAGGCGTGTGTCGGGGAACGCAACCACAAGTTCTTCCTGTTGTTCCTGCTCTCCACGGCTATGCTAGTGATGTGGACTTTCTTCATTGCCTGGTGAGCATGTCATGTTACATATTTCACCTATACTGTGATACCAACCATTAGGATTTTAGGGTCGTCATTAGGGGTCACTATTGCGATAACTATTGATATTGAAAGAAACTACTGCAATAACTATTGATATTGAAAGAAACTATTGCGATAACTATTGATATTCAAAGACACTATTGCGATAGCTATTGATATTGCAAGCAACTATTGCGATAACTATTGATACTGAAAGAAATTATTGCGATAACTATAGATATAGCAAGCAACTATTGCGATAAATATCGATAGTTTTCAGTGTATCATTTTAGATGGATTTTAGAGTTGAATTGCACCTTGGAACTGAAGTTCCCTTTGAATTTGATAACCATAACAGCAAATTAAAGTTTGAAATATGACTGATTTGTTTTTTTCGTACCCTAATAATTTAAGAAAAAGAAACTTCCACATTACCATGTGTAAATGACTACCACTCATGATACCTCACAGTTGATTGATATTCCTAACTGAAATCAATATTATTTATCGGAAACTGATTTAACAATCGATTTATTGACTTTAAGTGCTTACCAATAGATATATATCGATATTTCGATTTGTCGTGACACCCCTAGCAGTCATTACACTATTTTGAACCCAAATATTCAAACATGAGTAGGTACAATATGTTACAAGAATTTTGTAAGATAAAACCCAGACTAGTTTTACACTGAGAGACATTGTAAAATTCTAACCGGATGTCTAATCATGTTAATTCGACACCAGTCTAGTCATGGAGAGAGGACATGTTTGAAAATTGAGAGAATATAGGTATTGTTGAGCAGCATGCCTATGTCTGATCAAAATAACAATGTCTCAGTGTATGGTAGATAATCAGTACTGTTGCCATTGTTACACAACTTTCTCTTTATCAAAGTTTATGAAACCCAATTCACAATATCTTGAAGTGAACTGTGTCACAGCAGCTATTTTGAAAAAATCCTTTTTGGGCCATTTCTGTGCACAATGCAATGTAAACTTGGTATTTGTTTAGTTAGGTGTGTTCCATTTTTTGCAATATTTACAATTTTGACCTTGTATTGACCATACTCTTTAAAACTCTCAAAATGGATATTTGGGCCTGCAAACCTCTCCTCTGAAATTGCCAGATCGAGGGAGCCAAACTTTGGCATGTATGTTCTCCCTGTGGTGAGATCATATTTTCTTCAAATCATTACAAATCCAGGTGAGCTACAGTGGCACTATTTTCATAAGAGCTATATTTTGAGGACTATCTGTCTTATGTCCCCCATCCCTTCCCAGGAATGCCATAGTGTTCCGTCTTGACTGGTCGGTGTGGTTCAAGGCCAACTTCCTCTTCTTCATCGACATCATCATCCTGATCTTCGGAGGGTTCGTCGTCGTGGGTCTCCTGTGCTTCCACTCCTACCTGATGGTCAAGGGGATGACCACATGGGAGGCAGCTTCCCGGGAGAGGATCACATATCTGAAATATCTTGACGAGGACTATAATCCATTTGATGAGGGTGTGTGCAAAAATATGTACTACTTCCTGTGCGTGTGCAAGGTGCGGAAGTGGGAGAGTGTGTATTCCAAGAAAGCTGATGTCAATGGGAATGGAGGTATTGTGTGAATGTAGAGATGCCTAAAGATGTTGAAATATGACATCACTTTTAGCTTAAATAATTCCAGATAAGCCTATCACAGTGTTCCATATTAGGGGAATCCAAGTTTGTCCTGATGGAATTCAAATCTTTGGGACCCCCTAAATTTTTAACTTTTGACATTAGGGTTATGACAAGGACCCCTTATTTTCATGCTTAATTTGGAACACTGCTATCTTATGACATGGTGGTTCTGCAGATCCTCTGACTCAACTGACATGGTTGCGTTTGATAGACTGACACATACCCCAAGCTTTACATATCTCACAGACACTTCAGCAAATGTAGCGAAACCCCAGTCTTGAAAAGTGTCTTCCACTATTATAAGCCCAGCTAAAATTAATCCACATATCAACTCTATCAAAAAGTTTACCCAAAAATTCCAAGAGAAGATCGAGCTAGTAGACTCAATATTTTGGAACAATATTTCTATACTACTTACAGATTCACATCTAGCAACATTTGTATTGTGCTAGCAGAGATCTATAAATAGCTCAACACCCAACATATCTAAATGGGCTCAACATACAAAATACATCCAAAATTGTTGTCATCGTTGTCTCCATACAGATGTAATCAACATGTCATTTTGTAACAGGTCCCATGGGAGGGTGTCAAGAATGTGTAAAAACAATGCTTCAAGCAATGAATTAGTAAATGTTTGTATGGATATTTTCTTGTGTTTGTTGGCATTGAAAATTGAATATATATTTTTCTTTGTTATTATTCTGTTTATACGATCATATCACAGCATAATAAACGATGATTATTTTAATATTATACCATAACAGATGGTTTTGTCCTTGAGATTACTGATGTTTCATGACTGAAATATGTACCACAAGATTTATGTCACATATATCAGTTCGATGAAATCTGAGAATTAAACATTTCTGGAAAATATTTAAGAATTTATTTCCATTTGTCTGCAATAATGTTTATTGGTGAGAAGGTACAGATGTATATATACTGAACAAAAAAAGTTAGGGTTCATGAATATTTTTTTGGATATTTTTATGAAAATTGTGTGTTCCGTCGTCACTGCAAAAACATATGCACCAAAATATTCCTGATCCCTAACTTTTTTGTTCAGTATATATTATTTAATGCGAGTGGCTATTGTGTGGTAAATGCTGCCAGTGTCAATATTGTACATGTTGGATGTATCCCATGTTGCCAAAGTTAGTTGCAATGTTGTAGAGAAACTGTTGACAAGCTATTAATGTTGATTTCACAAATTACGTGATGTAGATTTTATTTTACTAAGTTCTAAGTGTGAAGTATTTTTAGTATATTCTGTAGGATATCTTTCCTAATCACTTCTTTTTGTGAACAGAACATACCCATACAACCATATCATTGAAGACTTATTTTCTTCTGTTTAGACAGATAATCCCATTCCAGTTTTATCTCCATTAAGTAATCTTACTTTTTATTTTCACATTTATGTAAAACGGGAATGTTAACAGTGTCAGTACACAAACGTTGTTGCCAATCAATCAATATTTATTTCTTCATAAAAACCACCAACAGTGGGGGAGGGCCATTCAGCTTGTCTGGTAACAGGTATATATACAATTCTATGTATGTGATTTTGTTTTTATGTTGTTTTTGAGGATATTACAATATTGTGTTTGTCTTTTTGTATTTCTGAATTATGTCACAATCTGATTTATTTCAACATTGTGAGTAGAAAACTGCCTTATAATATCTGAAGGGGAGTCACCCTTTGTCTTTTCCTTAAAACCCCCCCACTTCCTTTCATATTTTAATGACTTGATTTGGTATTGAAGAATTTGCACCAACTGGGTCATTTATTTTAGAACATTTTTGCACTATTTGGGTCAAATATGGTGGAACATTTTATTCTTCAGCAATAGCTCTAATTGGGTCAAACATGTCAGTGATGTCATATTTGTTTGTTTGTTTGTTGTTTAATGCTGCACTCGGAAATATACCAACTTTATGACAGTAGTATGTAAATAGTCAAGTCAGGACTAGACAATCCAGTGATTGACATCATGAGCAACAATCCAGTGATTGACATCATGAGCAACAATCCACGTAATTGGGATACAATGACATGCCATTCGTCACCACTCACCCCTTTCCGTAACCTGCAAGAAGACTCGTCCCCCTATCGATGAATGTTATTTGCGAAAATATGTCTAAACCAATCAGAATGCGCGTATGATTTCAAGTTCTTCGTCAAAGAATCCCTCAGAAATAGTTTTTGATTTTACATATGTCTTGCATTTAAAAATATACCCAAGACACAGTTAAATGGGTTCAATCATACTGTATAATTCCGCATGTACAAATGTGCTTTAAATAGCTTCTATAATATATATAATATATGGGGAAATATATGTGAACCATCACGCAACGAGTTGACAATTGTTTTAGGTATGCCTGTTTGCGCTAAGACAGAACCCGGTCGCAAAAATGGCCATGAGATGGGCACGAGTCACTATTCGGCTTGTCCTGGCATAACACGAGTTGGTCACGAGTGAATGACATGCATCAACCAAGTCAGCGAGCCTGACCACCCGATCCTGCTAGTCATCTCTAAAGACAAGCATAGTCACCTGTTATGGCAAGCATGGGTTGCTGGGATTTCTAGCCTGTATCATGGGTTGCTGGGTTGCTGGGTTGCAGGGATTTCTAGCCTGTATTATGGGTTGTGTTCATAAAACTGCTGTTAGACACGCCCGTAGAACAAAAGCAAGAGGAGCAAACACTATGTTTATCACTTTAATGATAACTTTTATCGGCCTTGGCTGTTTGTTCACAGGGTTGGTCTCATATACTAGTGATTGATCCTATGTTCAGAGAATATTTTTCCAGATAGTGTTGTTAATAAGAGGTGAAAGGAACTCAACATACTACAAGTAAGTAATTATTTACATATTTATGTTATGAGTTGGTAATGGTACCCTTCAGAGTGAAATTGTCCTGATTAACCCTCAGTAACGAATCATTGGTGTGGACTATGGCGTCATGAAGTCTTTGATAAGCATTTAGAAGTTGGAAGAACATGAATATATGACAACTTCTTTTTATTCTTTGTCATGCTCCATCAAGTAAATACTGAATAAGCGCATAGAGTTTATATATATATATATATATATATATATATATATATTGTGTGTGTACATGGTGATATGTACAAAGATAACAATATAATGACAAAACCAATGAGATTTAGTGTTCACCTGATGGAGCAAGAAGTAGCTCTGAAACATTGTTACAAAGAATAAAAGAAGTTGTTATTCATAAAACGTGTCATGTATTTATGGAGTCATGTCTTAAAAGGTCGCATTCCCACCAGTATTTGCCTGGAAAGTGGCTTTCTGGACTAGTGAGTTTTCACTGAATTTAATGTTTGTGTATTTTTTAAAAAGGTGGACATACTTGTGAATGCTTTCTTTTGGGGCTTTCAGTATCTACCATACGTGTTGACTTCAAAGATGGTCATCCTGGACCTCGTTCATTTCAGGCATCCCTCCGACATTAACTGGATTTAACTCGCTCACTCTGTCCTGATTAGTGAGACACCGAATAATGGCTCGCCAATGTGACACTGAGCAATTTGAGATTTGTGTTTGCTGTTGATAGTGTTGGAGAATTGTCATAGATGACCATCTTTGAATTTTCTCAAGGCATCCTTGGTAGCATGTATACAGTGTCCGACATGGTCATCGAGTGGGACTATGGACTGTGTGATATTGACATGGTATTGTGTAGTGTCTGGAAGAAAGATGGTACTTGTGTGTCAGTAATTTATTGGTATGTTAATTGTATGTTCATTGTCTGTTGCTATATGTGAGAATTGTCTGTATGACTGGTTTGTAGTTTTGTATAATGTGTTGATGTGATATGATACCACAAATGTTTCTCATGATTTTACCCAATACTTCAGATTTTATTTTTATATATGATTTTGACAAGCAGATTTTTGGGAAACAGCACACAAAATATCATGGGTACAAAATCATTAGCAATTTAATCTTGCCAGGTTTTTGAGATTACCTTCTAGAGTGGTAGACGTAGGATGTGTCAATGTCAAATGATTAGAGACCATGCTAAACACCATGATGTTCCATTGATGAGTCACGGCATTCACAGAACTATCACAATTTTATTATGTGCTGAAAAATACCTAATAGAATCATTGCTTCCACTGACTGTGCTAAAGCTATCCCACCAGAGTTATCTCCCTTCTTTCAAGGAGAACTATCGGTATCTATTCACTGGTGTCACTGTTGTTTCCACATTGTTGCGGTATTTGGCATTGTAAGTCATTGTAATACATGCACTAGTGGAATAAAGACATGTTGACCACTGGTCAACTGCAATGGCATCAATTGGTTGTTGTACCAGAAATGGGCTTCATACATTGTACCAGTGTCGGGAATTTGGCGTGACAAGCGAACACTTTAACCACTAGGCTACCTGACCGCCCCTTGCAGAGATGGGAAACGATCTGCCTTCAACAGATGGAAAAATGAGGACCTTTTTTCCTACAAAGTTGGTTCATTCAACACTAAAATACCACATAAGACAGTGTCAGACTAATGTTGGCAAGTGACATGGGTCAAGGATGTTTAAAACTTCAACCATGGGTATGGTGCTGAAAAACAGAAATTGGACAGACCACATTTAATTGAACCTATCCCTTGCATTATGGTTGACACTCTTGGGCAAGTGTACAGTGAGTCAGTTCAAGCACATCCATTCCACTTTCAGAGAGGGAGTACAGTTTTACACTGCTTTAAGGAATATCACTGTGGGATACACCAGAAATTGGTCATACAGTTGTACATACACATACAGGGAATCAAACCTGGGTATTTGTTGTGATGAATAATTGCTTTAACCACCATCCACTTCCATTGTGATATGATCCTCAGGGCAGCTTCATCCACAATCTCTTTACAATGATGAGGAAAGTCAGTTATACTCCAAAAGATATGTATTCAAAACAAGATTACAGTGGTGGTTACAGGAAGATCATTGTTTAAAAATGTTTGAAACAAAACTACATGAAATATAAAACAATTTTTAAAACTGAGGAAAGGAACCTGGGACCTGGATATGGAGTGGACAGATAACTGGTTGGTTTGTTTGTTGTTTAACGCCGCACTCAGCAATATTCCAGCTATATGACGGCGGTGTGTAAATAATCGAGTCAGGACCAGACAATCCAGTGATTGACATCATGAGCATCAATCCACGCAATTGGGATCGATGACACCATCAACCAAGTCAGCGAGGCTGACCACCCAATCCAATTAGTGCCTTTTACGACAAGCATTGTCACCTTTTACGGCAAGCATGGGTTGCTGAAGACCTATTCTTCCCAGGAACAGATAACATGTGACCACTCAGGTAGTTGATGAGTACCTGAACAAACTTTTTGTTAAATGCTCCATCAGCTCATAAGGGGATATAATAAGAGTGGTCGGCTCGGAGTCAGCATACCCCAACGTGGGGTATTCTTGCTTTGTTTGTTTGTTGTTAAACGCACCACTGAGCAATATTCCAGCTATATGACAGTCGTTTGTAAATAATCAAGTCTGGACCAGACGATTCAGTGACTGACATCATGAGCATCGATCCATGCAATTGGGACACGATGACATGCATCAACCAAGTCAGCGAGCCTGACCACCTGATCCCATTAGTCGCCTCTTACAACAAGCATAGTCACATTTTATTGCAAGTATTGGTTGCCGAAGACCTATTTTAACCCAAATCTTCACTGGTCAGTGGGGTATTCATGCTAAAACTGTGACATGCGATTTCGAACACGACGTTAAACCCCACCTGAACAGTAGAGTAGACTCTCTAGCGAAGCCTTTGCTGACGAGAACAGACCCATGGTCAGAAGACCTTATGAGCTGATTGTTGCAATCATAATGAAATTGATATACGGTACTTATTTTTACATACAGGCCTTAAGATCAAATATTAATTGATCTTATTTTGTGTACATGTTTTGATTCTGACTTTTGCTGAGGAACCTCTATCCAATCGTTAACTTTTTTTATTTTGTTTTGGACGGGTTTGGAGGATTGCCATTTGGAAAGTGCTATGTACCCCCTGGTGTGTAAGCTGACAGCATAGGTAGACAAAACAAAAATGCTACAGGTACATACTGACAGACTTAGGATCAGAACTTGAGATTCAAACCTACCACCAGACTATCTGTCAACTCAAATTTCTAACAATTAGTTATTGAAGTTTGTTTCTTATTTAAAGCCGCACTCAGCAATGTTCCAGCTATATGACGTAAATATAACTGTAAATAATTGAGTCTGGACCAGACAATCCAGTGATTGACTTCATAAGCATCAATCCATGCAATTGGGATACGAAGACACGCATCAACCAAGTCAGCAAGCCTGACCACCCTGATCCCATTAGTCGCCCTTATGACAAGCATGTGAAGACCTATTCTACCCTGAGCTTCAAGTCAGGTATCCATGCAAGTATGATCGAGTTGTGCAAGTACCCAGGTAATAAAATCACATCAGTCCCAGCCCTCAATACTTATGAGTAACGACAACACTAAAATATTTGTTCCTGTTTGTCAACATAGCAAGGCCATAGTTAACTTTTTTTGACAGGGGGGCAAATATTTGTACAAGTATCACTTGTCCCCAACTTGATTCAAATAAAACTGTTTTCTATAAAAAATCCAGGGAGGCAGCTGCCCCCACGGCTGGCTACTGCACTGAACATAGAATATCAACTGTACATAACATATAAACATCAATTTGATTTAAAATAAAAATCAATTATGCACTATTGTAGTTATTAACATAAACATAAACTATACTCAACTGTAAAGGTCATCCATGATGCTTGGGATGTAGAAAACAATAAAATCATGCAACAATTGAACATAAAACATAGAATACTGAATCATGTGCAAGAAAGGTACATTTAGCTGCCCCATCGATTATCGTAATTCTGAAAGTTCCA